CACGCGCATGGAGGCCAACCGCCACGTTCTCTACATCCTCCGTGATGCTGACAGCCGGGGGTGAGTGTGGGGGGGTGCGTGTCCCCTTCCCCGCTCCTCCACCCCAACTTTCCCCCATCCCAGGGGGGACCCCAGGCATCCAGGCACCCCCACAAAATCCCTTCCCCCTTGCCAGGACCCCTAAAGGCGCCGTCATCGGCTTCCTCAAGGTGGGCTACAAGAAGCTGTTTCTTCTGGTGAGTGTTGGGGGTGCTGGGGCAGCACACGGATCCCCTGGCAGCCATCTTGTCCCCCCTCATGGCCATCTTGTGTCCCCTCCCCAGGACCGTAACGGTGCTCATAATGAAGCAGAGCCACTTTGCGTCTTGGATTTTTACATCCACGAGTCGTTGCAACGACACGGTTACGGGCGGGAGCTCTTCCAGCACATGTTACAGGTGACGAGAGGGGACAAAATGGGGGGGGACACACATGACAGACACAAAGAAACATTGGAGACCCCTCCCCACAGAGCGAGAGGGTGGATCCCTGGCGTTTGGCCGTCGACCGACCCTCCGAGAAGCTCCTGGCGTTTCTCCGCAGACACTACGGCCTTACTGATGCCATCCCACAGGTCGGGGGGGGACATGACACTGGGGACATCCCTGGGGTGACCCTCATCCTCCTGGGGTGCCCCTGCCTGGGGTATTTGTCACTATTCTTGTCCCTGGGTGGGGGTGAATGGTCTCTTGGCTTCACCAGGTTGGGGTAGAGCCATGGTAAGTGCTCTGGGGAGGTGGAAATCACCCCAAATATTTGCCCCATTGGGGGGGTAGAGGGCAAATCACTCCAGATTTTTGCCCCATGGGGGGTAGCATCTCAAGAACTGCCTGGGGGGCAAATCACCCCACGGATTTTTGCCCTGTGAGGAGGGTAGGGCTATGAGAAGTGCTCCTGAGGAGGGGCAAATTACCCCATATGTTTGCCCCAGGGTGGCTGGGGGGGAAGACAGAGCAGCCCATCACCCCCAGCTTTCCTCACCCCCTCTCCTCAGGTGAACAACTTCGTCATCTTTGAGGGTTTCTTCTCCAACCGCCCGGGTGAGTTTCAGGGGGGGTCACAGAGGGGCTGTGGGGGCCATGG